TGACCCCTGCTCCTGCCTCTTTTTTTTTTGCTTCGTAGGCGTGTGTCGCAGCCTCCGTTTCTCTGCGCCAGCGCGCAAAGGAGAGGGGGAGAGAGAAGGAGTAGCAAGCAAACACAAAGAAAAAGGGAGGGTAACTCTGGGGCCCTTTGACTCGCGCGCTGCCCACTTGTTTATTTCCTATTGTTTTTCGCTCCTACTCGCTGGACGCCGCCTCAGGCGATGAGTTTTGCGCCGCCCCGGAAGCAGCGGACGGGCGCCACGGTGGCAGCGTCGCCCTTCAGCAGACGCCAGTCAGGGAGTAGGGCCGGTTCTCCCTCTGCTGCTTCTCCCCGACGCCGTGCGACGTCGACTTACCATGCCCCCCCGCCCGAGGCGGTAAAGGAGCAGATGCGGCGCTACGCGCAAAGTATTCGCAGGCGCCAGCCGCCGCCTGATGGATATCCCGTTCCAAAGCCTCACCTTCCGCGTGGTGGGGCCAAGCGCGGGGCAGGGACGGCTCCTGCGAGGAGACCGGGCGGTTTGCTCTTGTCACGCAGTCGTGGCAAGGTGGCCGAGCGGAACGGCGATCTGCAAAGCCCATCAAGCCGCGAGGTTGGCGAGCCGCGCCAGGACGCATCAAGAGTCCAGGGTAGAAATGTGGCGATGGAAGCAAGACGTCTACCATCTTCTGTTAATTATACCGTCTCGCCAAAGCACGGGTTTTTTTGCAGTGATGCGAATGCTAGTAGTCAGCAGTTGCTGCTGCAAAGTTGTCACGGGCCCCCTGGCGCTTCTCTCAGGACGGGCGACGACGCCAGCGACGAGTACGTCGGTAATCCGTATATTCGTTCCGTGTTGCGGGGCGCAGAGCAGCGCTGGGTTCCATCTTCGTCGGTGCACGCCCCTTTCAGCCACCATGGCCGCAGCCAAGGCCTTGACTGGCGTCACACGGAGCAATCACCCTCTCCTTCTCGCCGAGAGTTGGTGGGTGAGTGGAAAAAGATAACCAGCCGAAGTTCAAGCAATGAAACTTCACAGGTCTGTGTGGACCACACGGGAAAAAGCGGTGGTGATACATTTGCGGAGGTGGAGCAGGAAGTCCGACGACCACATTCCGTCAACAGCCCAGGAGGGGAAAGCGCGGCAGATCCAGCTCAACTCCACAGTACTCATGCCCAGGCATCGGAGCCTCAGTTTTCATTGGCAGCGGAAGGAGGAGGGGAAGGGCGTGCAGGAGGTTCGCATGCAGCGTGGCGGAGGCACATGCGGTATCCAGAACGAAACCAGGGCGTGCAGGAGGTTGCTGAGGACCTGCCGCGCCGCGGTGCTGAGGCGACAGCACGGAGAACGAAGGTGGCAGACACCGGCAAGGTTAACCTGACATTTTTGTATTCTGACGTCGAGGAAGACCCTCGGGCGTACCTTTACGCCCCACTGACAGATGTGGTTACTCCCTTTGCGGGGAAAGCGCACCGTTGCTCCTCACCTCTGGAGTTGGGGGCGGCTTCCAGGCCGGCGGTGTTGCACAAAGACGGCAGCGCTGCTGGGCCCCATCATGTTGGCGACGCAAAAAAGGCGCAGGCAGAAGGGTTGACGCCCAAATTTGCGGCGCGTCTTCTGGGCGCGGCACCTGGGAGTTTCGTCCCCCTCCAGCAAGGTATGACGTCAGCAAGGGAGCAGGCTTCTTTCGGTGCCTGTCCCTGTCGTTCTTGGAATGGTGGCGCGACAAACTATCTTGTTGCACCTGAAACAGAGATTGTAGATGCCTCAGGTGCAGTGTGGCTTGCAACATTGTCGCCGCTGAAGAAGTAAACTTCATCGAACCCCCCCCCAGTCTAAGTATGCGTGTCATGACAGTTAATCACGCCGTTCATATCGCAGCGGAGCATTTAAGCACCTTGGAAACACCTCACTGTAGCGTATGTGCATCCAGGCTTTGGTGACACCGTCACTAACTACTCGGAGTGGGCGTAGAGAAACAACAATAACAACAACAAAGCAGCACTACTCTGCGTCCCAATTCGAGCGGTGGTCAAGTATCGTTCCACCAAGAAAAATAAATTACGTGAATTTGTCTGTGTGCTGTTCACAAAGTTTATTTCAACATGACATTTCACCGCGGCATCAGTTTTTAAGCGCCACTGCCCACGCCTGCCGTCCTACCCATGGTTCGGCTACATGTTCATCTCCATTTTTTTTTTGTTGACGGGGAACATGTCCTTAGACTGAGGTGAAAATCAACACCTCTACGCGAAGTCCCTAGCAAAAAAAAGTAAAAACAAAACAGAAAAAAAAAAACATTTTTTTTTTTGTTATTCGCTTTAGAAACGGGTATTACACAATAGTCCTCCGTCATGGTACAACGCGTCCAGTTGGGCGAATACCTCCTGGGGAAAAAGATCGGTTCTGGGAACTTCTCCACGGTCCGGCAGGCCACGGACACACAAGGGCGAAGGTGGGCAGTGAAGATCATTGATAAGTCCCGTTTAAAGCAGGAGCACATGGAGGAACAGCTTCTGCGCGAGGTGGCTGTAATGCGGTCACTTATGCATGAAAACGTCATCGCTCTTCGTGACGTTTTGGAATCCGACAACCACTACTACCTTGTGTTGGAGTATGTGCCGGGTGGGGAGTTGTTCGATAAGATAGTGAAGGCGAAGCGCTTTGATGAGAATACAGCGAGACGTTATTTTCATCAGCTCATCGCTGGGATGCACTACTGCCACAGCCGCGGTTTTGCCCACCGCGACCTGAAGCCGGAGAACCTGCTGCTCGACGCGAACGGGACGCTGAAGATCTCTGATTTTGGCCTCAGCAACCGGCAGCAAAGCTTTCTGCTTGAGACAGTGTGTGGGACGCCCAACTATGTTGCACCGGAGGTTTTGATGGAGCGAGGCTACAATGGGCTGTCGGCAGACATATGGAGCTGTGGCGTCGTGCTGTATGTGATGCTTGCCGGACGCCTGCCCTTTGAGGACCGTAATATTAACGCGTTGTTTGCAAAGATTGAGCGTGGCGAGTACCAGATGATTAGGCACGTGTCCGAGGCAGTGAGGGACCTGATTGCGCGGATGCTGACGGTGGACCCGAAGAAGCGCATCACGATGGAGGGCATCATCGCCCACCCATGGTTTCAGGTGGGCTGGGACCGAAGGCGGCTGCAAGGAGCTGAGTAGGAGATTTGGTTGCGCACTACGTTACAGACCCGCCTCTCTGTGTCTGGAAGGGTGTGAGGTAGCTTGAGCAGAACAGGCGGTAAGTATTGTGGACCTGCTGAATCTAGAGCATGCATTTTCATGGTCGGTGAGGGCAATATATATATGTACCGTTCCGTGGAGGTCCTGGAAAGGGCTTTGTGACGTCGTTGTGAATAAATTTAGGGCCGTGGAAAGATGATGTTGGAGGGAGGATGCATTTTACTCTTCGATAGCAGCGTGTGCCGTTTTCCTCCAGTCGTGAGGAGTTTGTTATTGTTTTCCTAAGTTTGAAGCGCCCGCCTAGAAGGACGGGGTCGGGGCGCTGTTTTTGTTTCTGTGTCCTGAGGGCTGAATGCCGTTTGCTTTTTTTTTTTTTATTTCCTACTGACACGCGTGCCCCTTTTTCCTCCTCTTACGTCTGCTTGAAACTTGTTCTGGGCAATGGCAAAAACTGACTTATGTGAATTTCGACGATGTAACCCCTCTTCGAATGGTGGCGAAGGACACGGGCAGGCCTCTCACTGCCACCACGAACCTGTTTGCACCGTCCCTTGTTGCTACCCCACATGTACGTGCCCATCCAGGCGCGCAAATATCTGCTGTCTGTGCATCGTTTGGGTTAGTCTCTCTTTTGAAGTGCCTGCTAGGTTAGTCATTCATTGTTTGCATCCACAGGTGGCGTGTTTTGTGAGCAAAACAAAAAAAAAGGAGGACTACATTAGGGAGCCTGCTAACGCTGTGGGTGTCGGGAGGTGTGCGGTAGATCAAAGGCAGGATGAGTGTTGGACAATATGCGCTGGGGAAAAAGATCGGTTCTGGAAACTTCTCCACGGTCCGGCAGGCCACGGACGCGCAAGGGCGAAAGTGGGCAGTGAAGATCATTGATAAGTCCCGTTTAAAGCAGGAGCACATGGAGGAACAGATGCTGCGCGAGGTGGCTGTAATGCGGTCACTTATGCATGAAAACGTCATCGCTCTTCGTGACGTTTTGGAATCCGACAACCACTACTACCTTGTGTTGGAGTATGTGCCGGGTGGGGAGTTGTTCGATAAGATAGTGAAGGCGAAGCGCTTTGATGAGAATACAGCGAGACGTTATTTTCATCAGCTCATCGCTGGGATGCACTACTGCCACAGCCGTGGTTTTGCCCACCGCGACCTGAAGCCGGAGAACCTGCTGCTCGACGCGAACGGGACGCTGAAGATCTCTGATTTTGGCCTCAGCAACCGGCAGCAGGATGTTCTGCTTGAGACAGTGTGTGGGACGCCCAACTATGTTGCACCGGAGGTTTTGATGGAGCGAGGCTACAATGGGCTGTCGGCAGACATATGGAGCTGTGGCGTCGTGCTGTATGTGATGCTTGCCGGACGCCTGCCCTTTGAGGACCGTAATATGAACGCGCTGCTTGCAAAGATTGAGCGTGGCGAGTACCAGATGGTTAGGCACGTGTCCGAGGCAGTGAAGGACCTGATTGCGCGGATGCTGACGGTGGACCCGAAGAAGCGCATCACGATGGAGGGCATCATCGCCCACCCATGGTTTCAGGTAGGCTGGGAGCCTAGGTAGCTGCAGTGATGTCCTCTTTGTTTTATTACGAGGGGTTAGTAAATAGTTTTTTTCCGTCACCTGTGGTTGGTAGTTTTTGTTTGTGGTTGTTTTTGTTTTTTTTGTGTTTTGTTTTTCTTTTTCTTTTTTTTTGTTTTGTGATCTATGAACATATCCTTTGACGTAGTTACTTGCCGAGGTACAGTGAAGATTTTTAGGGGCTGCAGAGTGTGATTTATGCATTGTGGTGTTGCCTGTTGACAAAACGATTTACAGCACCTTTTCTATGTGCTCGCCCCATCGTATGATTTTTTTTCTTCTTTATGTGTGTGATATTTTGTGTATTATTATTATTTTTTTTTCTAGAGAGTGAAACTGGCGCATTCTCATGCTTTGTTGTGGATGATGTTGTAGAAGAAAGTGTCTGTTCTTTGGTATGCCGGTGGCTGGTCACTTCGTTTTGCCTTTGGACGGACAAACACTTCTCTCCCCGCCTTTCCACTTCGTGGGTGTTTTTTTTTGCGCGTTGAGTTCTTTTATGCGATAACGACGGCCTCTTTTTGAGGGGCCGTTTGGCGTTTGCTCTTTTTCTCTCTCTCTCCATGCAGGGCCTCCTGTAGGGGGTTGCATGTGTTTCTCTAACGTCGTTATGCTTCACGCCTTGCTCCACCTTTTTTTTTTTTCTCCTGTTGGTGGCGGTTTTGTAGCGGCTTAAGCTTGTGCTTGCTAGTGTGGTCTGCTAACGCTGCCCTGATGGGTCGTGTAATTGGCAAGTACAGGCTTGGCCACACGCTGGGGAGCGGCAACTTCTCCAAGGTGCGGGTGGGGTATGACACGGAGGACGGAAGCACGTGGGCCATCAAGATCATCGAGAAAAGTCGTATTGAGCTCGAGAGGCTGGATAAGAACCTTAAGCGCGAGGTTGCCGTAATGAGGAGTCTCAACCACCGGAATATTGTGCGGCTGCGGGAAGTTATGCAAACACCCAATCATATTTACTTGGTGCTGGAGTACGTGCCGGGTGGGGAGTTGCTCGATAAGATAGTGGAGGCGAAGCGCTTTGATGAGAATACAGCGAGACGTTATTTTCATCAGCTCATCGCTGGGTTGCACTACTGCCACAGCCGTGGTTTTGCCCACCGCGACCTGAAGCCGGAGAACCTGCTGCTCGACGCGAACGGGACGCTGAAGATCTCTGATTTTGGCCTCAGCAACCGGCAGCAGGATGTTCTGCTTGAGACAGTGTGTGGGACGCCCAACTATGTTGCACCGGAGGTTTTGACGGAGCGAGGCTACAATGGGCTGTCGGCAGACATATGGAGCTGTGGCGTCGTGCTGTACATGATGCTTGCTGGTGTTTTCCCTTTTGAGGATGACTCATTAAATGCTTTGTGTACAAAGATTGAGCGTGGCGAGTACCAGATGATTAGGCACGTGTCCGAGGCAGTGAGGGACCTGATTGCGCGGATGCTGACGGTGGACCCGAAGAAGCGCATCACGATGGAGGGCATCATCGCCCACCCATGGTTTCAGGTAGGCTGGGAGCAGGTGAGTGAGACGGCGGACGTGGTTGGTTCTACTTGCAGCGATGTGTCCTGTGTGACAAAAGTTAGTCCAAACTCTTTGCGCAACTCGTCGGCTGCCTCTGGGGCATGTCGTGATACCGTGGCGAGTAGTACCCGCGGCAACAGTTTTTCTGAGGCGAGGGCGGATGACAAGGATGCACCGATGCAGGAATCCTGTGTAGAACATGTGGTGCCGGACGATGATGGCCTCCCACCGCCGGGTAAATTAGAGGTTGATGCAGGTGCGCGGTTTTTTTTCAGAGGGACACTTGCGGACGTTGTGGAGGCCCTGCTCAGCCTGGACGCGAATCCACGAGAAAAACGGCATATGGAGCTCAAAGGGTACGTAGATGCCGCGAAGGGTCTCCTGACGTACACAGTGGTGATCACGGAGTTGAAGCTTCCCGGGGTTTTGAGCGCCGAGATGCGTCATGGACGGGGAGCTGCGTCTGATTTTCATAACTTGTACACCAAGTTGCTCGCAGCCATGCGCAGCAAATTATGTGGCCACGACGCGTGCGTGACAAATGACGTCAATAATGATGTGTGAGACGTATTTGTCGCTTCAAAATACATACATATATGGCCCTTGTTGGAGATATATTATGTTTTTTTTTTGCCTTATTATAATAATGATTATTTTTTTTTTTCTGGGTTATCGTGCACCGCTAGGCATTGCCTGGCCTGGGTGACCTTCTTTGCTCCCCTCCCCTGGAGAAAGTTCAGTAATCGATAAGTCGCGGTGTGCTCTCGTCGGTGTGCGTTTTTGTTGCATTTATGTTTGTTTTCCTTGTTAGTTTTGGAGTCCTGTTGTGGGCGTTCGTGTGGAGGCGCTCTGGGGGAGTGAGGAGAGTCGGAAGAGCGGGCGCAGCAGACATGCGCTGGCGCGCGTTGCAGGCGATTAAAGCGGCCACCCCCTTTTTTGGGCGGAGAAAGAGGGAGGGAGGGGGTGTGTGTGGTGGCCGCAACTGGAATTCCGTCCTTTGCAGCGGAAACGTGGCCATAAAACAAAAAAAAAACGGAAAAAAAATGGGGGAAAAAAAAGAACAAAATAATTAGCGGACGTGAGTCAAGAGTAAAAAAAAAAAAACATAAAAAAAAAAGAAAATAATATGCGCCAGTAAACCCGCTGAGGTGGACAGGGGAAGGAGCGGGGGGCGTGGCATGCAAAACGAAAGTAATAAAAAGAGTCTGTTTTGGAGACAAGGGCGTCGGTCAGCGCCAAAAACGGCGGAAACAACGAGGG